AAGTTACAAGTAAAAGCCCACGTCGATGTCATCGATAGACATTTAAAACCAACAAAATGCATATTCTACTAGTAGGTTCACATACAAACTCGGTAACATGAGTAAGTAGTACTGGCAATTTTATTTTGTAAATCATACAGAGAGAACCAGGTTTAGGTGACATACATACATATTTGCTGGCATACTAACTGAATCACAGACACACTGAATTGATATTTCAATGATCTATGGGTCTCCAAAAATAACACACTCATACGCATTTCTTTACGATGGCTTCACACAAATATTTTGAAAAAAAAAAAAATCTTATAAATGGACAAAAAATCAAATTGAAACAAATATCAAAATGTAGTTAAATCTCTCATAATGGTCGGTAAATGGTTTTAACACTTTTCATTGTATTTTTCATTTTTTAGGCTATAAAAGACTATGAATGCAAGAAGGAATTTGTACAACTTAAATGCTCGTAACTTCTTAAATTTCATTTAAACACCAGGAATCCGGCATTTAAATCTTTTACCTTCTTATTCGTGATTAATAAACATTAAAACTGTTGTAATTTCAATTAATTTCCATTGCGCATCGAGTCACACTTCAAACGAATGTTTGGCCGATGATGGTTGTCGGTGTCCTTATACTCGTTCTTACAAGATCATGATTTAAAGGTATGTTTTCTATTTATAAATAGAAAATTGATCAAAAAGCAATTGAGTAAAGAATTTTACTGAAATTCTCTTTATAGAGACAATTTATATGAAATATTCTCTTTATAGAGAGATTTATATGAAATTCTCTTATAGAGTGAATTTATTGAAATTTTTTTATGGAGATCTCACGAATGTTTATCGAATTTTTCTTCAAATATAGAGTTTTATCTTATTTATTCTATGTTATTTAAAATAGAGAAAGAATATCCGATAAATCTTTATTGGTATTCATCGGATATTCTCTTTTAAAATTGAACAATTGATTTTTTCTTAATTATAGAATTGTATAAGAAATTATTTTTAAACAAAAAATTTATAAAAAAATATAGATATCAAAAATTCTCTTAACATAAAATTTATCAAACATTTTTTAAATAGATAATTTTTCAAAAATTCTTCTTAAAAAGAGATTTTATTAAAAATTCTCTTTAAATAGACAATTTTTCAATAATTCTCCTTAAAAAGAGAATTTTTCAATAATTCTCCTTAAAAAGAGATTTTATTAAAAATTCTCTTAAAAAGATAATTTATCAAAAATTCTCTTTAAATAGGAAATTTATCAAAAATTCTCTTAAAAAGATAATTTATCAAAATACTCTTAAAAATAAAATTTGTCAAAAATTCTATTTAAATCAGCGAAACGCAATGAGCGCTCTTGTACTCTTTCTTTAAAATGTACGTATTTTATCAAAAATTTTCTTTAAATAGAAAATTTATCAAAAATCCTCTTAAAAGGAGAATTTATCAAAAATTCTATTTAACAGAGAATGTATCAAAAATTCTCTTAAAAAAGAATTTGTCAAAAATTCTCTTTAAAAAGAGATTTCATCAAAAATTCTCTTGAAAAGGAAATTTATTGAAAAATATCTTTTATCGCGATTCAATCAAAATTCCTCATTAATACAATTTTATAGAATAGTCTTTTTAAACAAAAATCGATTTTTCCATAACTAGACGATTTTATCAAAATTCTATTTAAACAGAAAATTTATTAAAAATTCTCTTGAAAAGAAGAATTTAGATAAAAAATTCTCTTTAAATAGAAAATTTATCCAGGCTTTTTCCTAAATAGAGAATATTGTTGAAAATTCTCCTTTACATAGAAATTTTATCGAAAATTCTCTTTTAAACTACTGCTGCTGGTCTCTTTGAGTGGTCTTGATCATATTGTATTCATATTCTCTATTATCATCATTCGTTGTTGCATCTGTGTGAAATCTAACACGCACTAATCATTATAATGTTACGATTACATTTAGCTCCAAACTGGACATACCCTTGATCGAACAAACGTACGTACACACACACACACACACACACAACAAAAGGGAAACATTAGTACTTTAGCAACAAGTATAAATAAATATTGTATGAATACTACTACGACGATTGGCACCCTGCTGTTATTTAAAGATCGATAAACAATGTTTAGTTGAAGTGCAAAAGACACATCTTTAAGTTGGTTTCTTATTCTCTCCTCCTTTACACTGCTACAGGTTGCAGCAGCATCCACTCAATAAAATTGCTTGTAGTACAACATGTACAACACAACATTGCAACATGTAACTTATCTGTAGCACATGTGGCTTTTAAAGTTGAATAAAATAAAGCACACAAAAAAAAATCAATTAAATAATATATATTTTTTTCATTACATTTATGTTAAATTCAATCAATTGTTTCAATTAATGATCAATGATCTATTAATGCTAATGATTTGTCATCTAAGTGGAAGTGACTAGAAAAAGGTTTTTTTTAGTTCATATGTCAACCAAATGGTAGTATTAGTCATTATTGGAAATAAATATCTGTATTGTTATATTTATTTTTTTTTTTGTTTTTAACTTTAAATATTGAAAATCTATTTCCTAAGCTACTACATACTTACATATGTATTTATAGTCAGTTTTAATAATGGTTTTTAGATAAAACATATTAGTACTATGATGACGCTAGTATGGCTGTATAATTGAATGAATGAGTCATCATTTTGTATTTAGTATTCCATTCATGTTTTATATTTTATAAAAGGAAAAAATGCTATGGCTGTCTCTAGAGTTAAAAGGTTAAAAATAAAACAAAACTATTAAGGTTTTGTTATAAACTTTAAACTACTACAAATATTAGTTAGAAAAAGATACGAAAATACTATAGTAGTGAAAATGTTAATATTTTATTACAAATTTGACCTTTTCAATTTGTTTTAAGTTTTTTTATAATAATAGTTTTATTACTCAAATTTTCCAGGCGGGACCAATTAAGGAGATCGGTTCTAGTTTTATATTAATGATTATTATTTGTTTTAAATGTTGATCATTTTTAGAAAAATAATAAAATCTTTTTCTTAAAGAAATTTTCTTTTATTTGTATTTTTTAAATGAGGTGATTTTGTAAACAATTTACTACATACATATGTATATACGCGTTAATTTTGCTTTAGAAATTTATAATAAAACTAGACTCGTGTTTACAGCGGTCTGTGGTTATTGTGGTATTTTTAATTAACTACATTGTAAACCATTTTAAATAAGTAAGATATTATGGACGGACATGATAGACAATAATTTATCCTATAGATAGATAGATAGATAGATAGATAGATAGATAGATAGATAGATAGATAGATAGATAGATAGATAGATAGATAGATAGATAGATAGATAGATAGATAGATAGATAGATAGATAGATAGATAGATAGATAGATAGATAGATAGATAGATAGATAGATAGATAGATAGATAGATAGATAGATAGATAGGATAGATAGATGATAGATAGATAGATAGATAGATAGATAGATAGATAGATAGATAGATAGATAGATAGATAGATAGATAGATAGATAGATAGATAGATAGATAGATAGATAGATAGATAGATAGATAGATAGATAGATAGATAGATAGATAGATAGATAGATAGATAGATAGATAGATAGATATATAGATAGATAGATAGATAGATAGATAGATAGATAGATAGATAGATAGATAGATAGATAGATAGATAGATAGATAGATAGATAGATAGATAGATAGATAGATAGATAGATAGATAGATAGATAGATAGATAGATAGATAGATAGATAGATAGATAGATAGATAGATAATAGATAGATAGATAGATAGATAGATAGATAGATAGATAGATAGATAGATAGATAGATAGATAGATAGATAGATAGATAGATAGATAGATAGATAGATAGATAGATAGATAGATAGATAGATAGATAGATAGATAGATAGATAGATAGATAGATAGATAGATAGATAGATAGATAGATAGATAGATAGATAGATAGATAGATAGATAGATAGATAGATAGATAGATAGATATATGTAGATAGATAGATAGATATATATGTAGATAGATAGATAGATAGATAGATAGATAGATAGATAGATAGATAGATAGATAGATAGATAGATAGATAGATAGATAGATAGATAGATAGATAGATAGATAGATAGATAGATAGATAGATAGATAGATAGATAGATAGATAGATAGATAGATAGATAGATAGATAGATAGATAGATAGATAGATAGATAGATAGATAGATAGATAGATAGATAGATAGATAGATAGATAGATAGATAGATAGATAGATAGATAGATAGATAGATAGATAGATAGATAGATAGATAGATAGATAGATAGATAGATAGATAGATAGATAGATAGATAGATAGATAGATAGATAGATAGATAGATAGATTAGATAGATAGATAGATAATTTTTGTACATTTAACATAGTTATGACCTCAAAAGCCCAATTCTGGAGCACTGTTGTACGGAGCTGGATGAAATAATGAATCGATTTTAAATAATTCCAATAGGCTTCGTTGTTGGGTCATTAGAAGAGTATGTGTCAAATTTCATTCAACTTTGGTATTCTGCATTTCGACTCGAAGCTCCGTCACTAAAATAACAACTTAGAAAAACGTAGTTACGATCGTAATGCAGAATACACATAAATATAAATAAAATGGAATTGCTTCTTATTTTTCTTACGATTACGTTTTTTCTTGGAACACCAATTTTCGATCGTAGCGTAACTGAACACACAAGGTTTACAAGGATACACATACAGACGGACGGGCAGACGGGCATAGCTTAGGTATACTTCATAATAGGTATATGATCAATATTTTTGGCTGTTACAAACATCAGCACAAACGCATAATACCCTTCACACTATAGTGGTGTAGGATGTAAAAAAACTAACACATTTTCTCGGTGATTAAATGTATTTCATTTAAATTCTATTCATCATCAGTCTCTATAAATCCTTCAATAACTATAAAACATTTTGATATACAGCACTTTAAGTAGAAAATATTCTAATAAAATGTTTATTTAAAATGAATTCTCTAATATTTTACACATTCTTTATGTGGCAACTTTTTAACGGAATCTTGTCAATATCCGAGAAGGATAGAATAAAACAATGTCCTTTTAGGGAAACGGTAAATCTAAAAAATCAACATAAATTTGTAAATGGTTCAGTTTTATATCAGGGTATAATAGTACCACCCGAAAATCAAACTCTCTACGATGCTGTATATTTTATGGGTAACAAGAAATCGGTGCCATTGCATTTAAGAGGTTGTATTAGAGAGAGTCAAGCTTGGATTAGTTTATGTTGTGGACTCGATGAGTACTATGATGATGGAAGGAGAAAATGCGACAAATTGAAGTCTAATATAAATATAACTAGTGAAATAAATTCGCTTATAAAGGCGAATATATTTAAACATTTTAAAGCTCAAGAATTCTATGAGTGCTGGGAGTCAACTGTACTACAACAAATTCCTGACAATTGGAAATTTTTTGAGGTTAGTAGTTACAAATGAATTGCATGATTCAGTTAGTAATGTTATTTAGAGAAATTAATTTTTGCGGTTATAAATTATTTGCTAGTAATAGAATTATTTAATTATTTTTTAAATTTTTCCAGCAAGGAATCTTAACACAAAATAAATATATGTTTCATGGTGAATTTTGTTTTTCACCACATTTGATGTCGAATAATTCTTATATATTAAAACCCTTCACTTGTCGCATGGATGATGATTTCAGCAAAATACTTTTTAATCAATATAGTAAGTTAAGAAAATACTCAATTATGGACTCAAGCATATACTAGTTATATATTTCAAATCTATGACAATTTGACAATTGTTTTTGAAACATGTCCTCTACCGGAACTTGCGTCAGTTTGGTTCATAACTTTATATAAGACTTTATATAAGATTTTATTACAATATGGTTATATTCAAAAGATTTATTGGCGACTTACAGATTATATAAAGAGGCGTTTTCATGGGGTATAGTCTCAAATAAGACCCGTTCACATAAAATTTGTTGATGTTTATAACTTTTATAAAAGTATTTTAAGAAGCCTATTGACTACTACCACTGAGACTATTTATTCTACTGACTAGTCTATTGACTGGCCTGTTGACTAGTCTGTTCACTTGTCTGTTGAGTAATCTACTGATTGGTCTATTGACTAGTCTGATGACTAATCCTCTTACTAGTTTGTTGACTAGTCTGTAGACTAGTCTATTGATTGGTCTATTCACTAGTCTAATGAATAATCTATTGACTGGTCTATTTGCAAGTCTATTGACTAGTCTAGGTCTAGTCTTTTGACTAGTCTGCTTACTAGTCTATTGACTGGATTATTTACTAGTCTATTAACTAGTCTATTTACTAGTATATTGACTAGTCTGTTCACAAATATATTGATTGGTCTGTTGACTAGCCTGTTATATGGTCTACTAATCTATTGAATAGTCTAGTGACTAGTCTATTGAATGGTCTATTCACTAGGCTATTGACTGGTCTATTGACTAGTATATTGATTGGTCTGTTGACTAGTCTACTGACTAGTCTGTAAAATAATCTACTCACTAGTCTATTAACTAGTCTGTTCATTGTCTAGTCTATTCTTTAGTCCATTGACTGTTCAATTCTCTAGTAAGTCTAATGACTACTGTATTGATTAGTATATTGACTAGTTTTTTGACTAAATCACTGACTTCTTTATGGAGCAGTATTCTGTCTATTTATCGGTCTATATACTAGTCTACGGACTTGACCATTGATAAGTCTATTGACTAGTCTGTTGTCTAATCTACTGACTAGTTTGTTGACTGGCCTATTGACTATTGTTTTAATTTGTATTGACTAGTCTATTGATAAGTCTATTAACTAGTCTATTATCTAGTCTAGTGTTTAGTATGTTGACTAGCCTATTGACATTATTACATCACAGCGCACCATCACCCCATTATAATGGTGAGATATAAAAGAAATACATTTTTACTTTCAGATTTGAATACATCGTTATTATTTTTAATTCCCACCATATTGATGAATTACCTGTTCAAGCAATTGCGAATAGAGCTGGCCGATAAACTATGTTTCTATTATATTACTTCAATGACATTGGGCAATGCAATTTTTAGTATACTTAATATTGTATTTAAAATGAAGGGCAATGTTATAGTGTTTGTAATCTTGGGTGAGTCTAAAATTTAATATAAAACTTTTGCTATATTTCTTTCTTTAACTGATCATATTTCTTTAAGGTTTTGTGGCTTATTCTTGTCATATAGTGGCCCTTTTATGGCTAAGTGTTTTGTGTTACGATATTTGGCTGGAAGAAAAGAATCCTAAACAATTGACTATATATTCGTTATATGTTGGCTTTAGTGCTTGTCTAGCAATGGTTTTCTTTATTACCGTTAAATTACCCTGGGTGCGTGATAATATTTATAAACACACTATTGATGAAATATGTTTATGGAATGGTAGGTTTCTTTTTAGAAAAGATTTTCATCATTTAATCTTTGAACATTTGCATTTACAGCTGATAAATGGTCTGCATTACAATTTTACGGTTTAACTCTTTTAATTTTAATCTTAACCTTTCTTAAGTTTGCTCACTCGGCATTTATGATTTACGAAATACGTAACGATGAGGAAAAATTTAAAATTAATCGGCATTTGTTTAAACAAAAGTGTGTAAGATTATTTAATTTAACTCAACTCTTTTCTAAATATTTTATTTTTCAATTTTACAGCGCTATTTTCATTTCCCGTTTATTTCTTGTATTGGGCGTTCCTTGGTTTGTTCACATTCTGTCTTATTACACTGTGGATAGTAATGATTTTAGTTTTGTTTTTTTACTGGTAAATTTTGGTGATGGAATTCAAGGCATTTTGATTTTCGTATTATTCGTGTGGAGAAATGAAATTTGGATTTATTTTAAACAAAAGTTGTAAAAAAATGTTTAAGATTTTTAGATTAGATAAACTAATTTTATATATTTTACAGAACCTGTAAAGTTAGAACACCGCAAGAGGATTGCATACCACCAGCTTGGATGACGGAAGTCACGGGACAAAATCCATAATAGTTTTATCATACAGTTTGATTACAATGAACTTCAAAACAATTTTTGTTTAAGTGTTGTTCTATTTAACTCCCTGGCCTGGAGATTTCCATATTGGTTTAAAGTGTTATTAAATTATTGTAAATTATTTATATATAAAAAAAAACAAGTAAGAAAGTATAGTCGGGCATGGTCGACCATATGATACTCAACACCAGTGAGTATGTTTAAAATGAGGATTTTTAAATAATAAAGCATTTAATTTGGTTTTAGCTTAATTCCGAAATATTTTAACAATCTGTTGACAAAAAAGAGATTTTCTAAAAGAGGGGTTATATGGGGCAAAGGTTAATATATGGCCCTATCCTTATACATTTTGGTAGAGGACTTTGTACAAATGAGGCTTGATCTTTTATCTTTTAGAATTATATAAAACTAAATTTTTCCGATTTTTGAAGAGATATTAGAACATTCAACATAGTTATGAGCTCAAAAGCCCTATTCGGGGTGATGGTTGTATGGGGGCTAGGCGAAATAATGGACCGATTTTAACGATTTTCAAAAGGCTTTGTCCAAAAGTAGCGTGTAGCATATGGTTTACATGGACACACACAAAGATAAATCGACTCGTGTTACAAACATCAGCACAAACACATAATACCCTCACCACTATAGTGGTGTAGGGTATAAATATATATATATATATTATTTGAAACGAATCGAAAGGAACATCAGGTTTGCTGTAGTTATTATTTAAAAATTAAACACAAAATATTTTTTGATAACGAAAATTTCTTTGAAAGTTTATTAAAATTATTTCTTTAAACACTTTAACATTAAAGGCGTCAGTCTATATGTTGTGTTTTGGAAATAAAAAACCGTTTTAAATACAATCTTTTAAAGTTTTTTTTTTTTGTTAATATTTAGCAGCGCCAAACCAACACATTTACCTACATTCTAAGTAGTACATGCTAATAAACAGTAGCAACTTAACAGTTTAACTTTACATACAATAAAATACCAAATTGTATGGTTTGTTGTTTGCTACTTAATTCTTAAAACTTCCTAACCCCCTCCACCTCCCACTCTGCAACACCCTAAGCGCCCTTTTGCTAACAAGTAACAATTGTACAAAACAAAGAAATTTAAGAACTAAAGACCAACAAACATTAACAAAAAAGGTGTTTCTTTTTATTATATCAACAAGAAAATTCCTAACAATGCAACACAGCTAAAGAATATGCAACAATAACAGCAACATGAGCAAAAGTAGTAAGCAGCAGTAACAACAACAACAACAAACACAATTACCATGAAACAATATTACCACCATCATCACCACCACCGTAACCAGCAGAAGCAGCAACAGGAACAGCAGTGGCAGCAACATATGCATGCCTAAATGTTGTTGACTGTTTGTTTGTTTGTTCGTTCGTTTGCTGCTTGTTGCTGCAGTGCTAATTGTGAAAGCAAAAAGAGGAAATTAATGTGCTGTTGTAAATAACAAATTATTGCACACTTATTTTGTTTTCCAGCAACATCAACTGCTGCTTGCAAAACAAACAACAACAACAAAAACTGCAACAAGCTACAGCAGTTGAATGTTGAACAAGTTCTTCTTGTGTTACTGTTGTTACATTCTAAGAATCCTTTTTTTGTTATTTGGTAAGCTTTTTTTTTTTTTGTTGGCTCAACGAGACAATCAGTTTTAATACTGACGCCGTCTCGTCGCCTTTTATTTGTTTTGTTGTCTCTTTAGCTGCAACTACAACAACAACAGCAGCAACAGGAAAAAGGAATCAACAAACGAACTGAATCCATGCTTCCATATTGTTTTGTTAGTTTTCATCATGGATCAAAACTGCTAAAACCAAATCACTGAATTTTCCTAACAATTGCAAATGCAACAAACGGTTTAAAAATAGCATCAGCTATAGTCTTTTTTTCAGTTATCTAAAGGAGCCTCCACAACAAATAATATTTCTTAACATAATATCTAGCCGAAAACTTTGTAAGCGCCTTTAAGTTGATAAGTTGTATAGTTTTGTATGTCTCATGCAATATTGTTTCAAATCTGTTGTGTTATTTATATTCAGTTCAAAGATTCCTGCAGTTCGAGATGGTTGTATCAAACTATTGAATTTTTCTTTGGATTACAGTATTCGTTATGGAAATATCGAATGTATAGATAACTACTTATCACACGTTTGTTCGATTAAAAATTTACGCTTGTATTTATAAAAAAATCTTATTTTGCTTTTAATGCACTCAATAGTTAAAGCACACTTTAGCCTTAAAAACCATTAATAAAATTGTGATATTCATAAACAAATAATAAACGTATATTAACTATTGTGCTGATTTATGTTTAAGTTGTCAGCACTGTACAATATGGCTGTCATTTTATGTGTTAGTGTTGCGTACAATTAGGATAAAATAATCGTTGATTCGGTTTTCTTACTTTCATATTTTTGTTTATAATAGATTTTTGACAATAAAAACAAACTTTTAAGAAAAATTAATATATATATATGGCTTTAATAAATGTCTATTTAGTTCAGATGTATAAATATAACATATAATTTCTAATTATTATTAAAGTATCCGAATAACGGATATTTTGCGACAAAATATACATCACTATGACACATTTTCTTATTTTTACTTATTTTCCTTGTAATTTTTGATAAATTTTTGCAAATATTGATAAATTTCTTTGATATTTGACTAATTTTAATGCCGGCGAATATATTTTGCATTAGTATAACACTAATCAATATAATTTACATGGTTAATTACTTTATGGCATTATATTTAACCAACAAACTTTGAAAAAGCCAAATCAAATGATTTTGTCCATCATTTGGTTGACAGACGGGCATTTCCAAATTGCCTAAAAATAGTGCTGGACAATTGGAATATTGTCAAATATTCATGCATTAATCCAATAATGCCTAGATTTGAGTTTTTTTCCTCAAAATATAATCGTTTAAAAATTTTCTGGGATTTTATTTACAAATTTGTAAACGTTAAAATTAGAATTTTTAGATTTTATTTTAAAAGAAACCATAATTACTTTTCGCAATCAACCTAAAATTACCGGAAAAATCTTTATCTGAGAAAAAAATTGTTAAAAATCAAGTTATTGTTGGCTTAAAGAAGGGTCGAGCCTACAATAAAATTCTTCTAATTGTCAATGGTTTATTGAAGGTGTTTCACGTTTATAAATACGATTTTCCTGAATTTTGCCTAAAATTTTTTAATAAACCTAAAATAAGTTTTTATAAATACAGCCGTTACTCTTTAATAGAATATCTCTCATATTTATAATCGATTAATAAAGTTATTAATGGTTTATAACAGGCATTTTATATGGCAAACTGTATAATAAACCAGAAATAAACTAATGATAATTTTATGAATACAAAAAACTTGTGTTGAGTTAAATAATTAAGAACTAATATACCACAAGAACAAAAATTTTAAACTGACTACTCTCTACATTACTTAGAGACAATAAAGATTTGATTGACTGCCTCTCTGTGTTGTTCAAGTAGTTATTTATCAAGTGATCCAAAAATATATTAATAGAAACTAATTAACTAAAATACTGTCTAAAATCATTACACTGACTCCTTGCAGAACTGCGGGAATTTTACACTACTTAAACTTTAATTTTAAGAAAATTTTAAATATTTTTATAGTCTTTTATTGAAAATAAGTTTAAACTAATAAATCCATTTCTATTTGAAAAATTTGTTAATACCTTTTTTATTATGCTAATAACTGTTAACGAAATGATAATGCTTATTAGTTTCACTTTCGAGTCAACAGTCTGAGTCATACATAGTTTCCACTAGTAGGAGGAATTTTTGTATGTAGTTTAGTTTGTTTAAGCCAAAACTTTTTCAAATTATATATATCAACATAATTTTATTATTTACTATATGCCTAGTAGTGTTTATAAAAAACCGACTTTTGGAAAAACCGGTTTTTCGGTTAACCGAAAATTAACCATTTCTAAAAAACCGGTTTGTCGGTTAACCGAGTATAAAAAACCGGTTAAACCGGTTAACCGAAATGTTTGGAAATCTTTAAAATATTATAATATATAGTTGAAAAATGTCATTTTGCGAAATATTATAAATTACTTAATAAGATATTTGCATTTTTTAGTATAGATATGTACATTAATATATCATAAGAAAACAAACTTATATAGATCTGAAGATATTATTGATTCGTTAGGTATATGGAAGTTGCCATACGAGGGATAAATTGACCATATATATCAATAGCAAAAATTATGCCCAGAACTATAAACAGTGTTCAGGTTCGCGATGATTGTCTCGACATAGACAGTGACCTCCCTCCACTCACTACGCCTGTGGTTGTTCAAATTACTGTGAATGACGCTTAGGAATATTGACAGGTGTCATTCTGACTTCCTGTCAATCAACCTAAGCGCCATTACAGTTTGTGAAAAACCCCAGCAGCATAAGTTCTCGGACGGCAACAACAATCCTTATGTTTCGATAAATAAAGTCCGTTTTGAGAACGTTTGAGAAACTTCTCGATTTTTACTATACTCACGCAGTAAACAAGTAAGTATATAGATAATATTTGTTTAACAATCTTAGGTCTGTTTTCATATGCACAAACGGAAAATAATGTTTAAAATTATCTATCCAAAATTTTTAAAAATCACAATAAAATATCAAAGAAAACATACAATTTTGTACTAAAAATTAGATTTTTTTGAAACCGGTTAACCGAGACTTAAAAACCGGATAACCCGGTTAACCGAAAACCAATGTTTTAAAAAACCGGTTTGCGAAAAACCGAAATATGCAATAAAAACCGGTTTTTCGGTTAACCGGTTAACCGGTTTATAAACACTAATGCCTAGCAGAAATCGAACTGATACCTTAACTAGTCTTGAGACTGGACATGAAATGTTTGTATGTTCAAGCAATAATATTATTATATCCTTCACCTTCATGAGAGGGGCATATAAATGTTTGTCATTCTGTTTCTAGAAAACCCTATAAAGTTTATATACTCCGGTTCCTTATAGATGGCGCAGTCGATTAAGTAATGTCTATCTGTATGTCTGTTGAAGTCAATTTTCTGAAGACTTCAAATATCTTTTAGATCCAAATCTTCAATAATTCTATCAGACTTGAAATTTTAAAGCAGCAAAATTGGTTCATAACAGAGTTATACACAAAATTCCGCAACAAACCATGAAAATATTGTAAAAAAATACGAATGTAAA